TGGAACTCGGTGCTCATGACAGAGATACACCATAGGCTCTTTCGACACCCTAGAAGCTGGTTTCGCCAACCCGTCACATCCAGAATCGCCGAGGTTCGACGTGTCAACCGAGAACATCACTACAAGTGCTGGTGCGTGCCCCGGGGCCATCGTTCTCTGCGTCCAGCATGCCGAAAAAACCCAAGGACCGATCGAACATTCGAACTTTTCCGTTTGTTGGGAACGGTTACAGTAACCCATCGTTGGATAGGCTTTTGCCCGACTTATTGGATTATTGTAAGAACGATTTCTGCATATTATTAAACGGTTATATGGTAAACCTGTCTCGGTGAGTCATTCCGCGCCCACATGACAGCAATGACCGCTCGGCTGTCGAAAACACCTCATCCCTAATCGGCTGACCTCACACATGTAGCACATAACCAGCTTACAATTGGCAATCAGCCTATAGAGTTTACATGACCTCAAATATCTCAGCCCTTCAAAATTCTGGCTTTATCACAATATTGAATTTGCCAAATTGTACATATTTGCAAAAAAAACCATGTTCAATGGTCATTAGACTTCAGTCACGTTCTCACTTATTCAGAGCATCACTCAATAAATAAAAAAACCCTAAAAAACTCCCATAAGCACAAAGCAGAAACCAATAATAATAAACATAAATATAATTGAAGAGCACTATATTAGCAAAGTACTGTAAAGCAAGCTATGCCTGTATGTTAAATTGAGTTTATGCACATGAAATTCTACAATATAATCTATTTTGTTTTCTTTTTTTATTCTATATTCAAACCAGAACATGTCTGATAAATGCAGCCAAAACACTTGTTCATTTTTAATTTTAACATTTGCTGGAGTTCTGTTCAAACATAATTTAGTCAATTTCACTGTTTAAATACAATTTATAGTAAATATATATTAGCAATACTAGCTGGCTTAATTAATTACTTATCTAACCACCTAAATGGGCGTTTTTTGGACTAATAAACAAATTGTTATGTCCTTCTAATCCAACATTTTACTGACATTCAAGAATTACTCAGAAACAATTTTAATTTCCAGATATTTTATTTATATGCATTTCAGATCTAATATTTCTGCCAATCCTGCCTCAGTCTACAGAGAATAAAAAATTGTTTTGTAAATTCACAATTAAAACATTTTTAAGACAAATATAAACAAATAAATAACTTACAATATTTATGCAAATATTTTACAATAGATACCATCTATGAGAAAGACCACACCAAGTATTCGTAATCATCTAAAACCACTCTAAAATTCAATTAAACCAATCATCCCACATCGCGTAATGTCTTTTTATTCTTATGTATTCATGCGTCGTTCCATGCGTCATCAATTATCATCCTGCTGTTTAAATTCATTAAGTTGTTATTATTTTTAATTGCTATATGTTCTTTGAATGATTGAAGGGCAAAGAGGTAGGAGTAGGCCAAGAAAGAACTGGTTCAGCAACATCAGGAATTGGACATACTTAACGTATGAAGAGTGCTCAAGAGAAGCACAAGATAGATCATGGTGGCATGAAATGGTTGTCAACCTCCTGACAGGAGAAGACACATAAAGAAGAAGATATGTTNTGGTAATAATAAACCCAACAAAGTTTTAAATTCTAAAAATAAACATATTTCTAGATTAAAACAAGTAAATATGTGTATATTTACTTGTTTTAACTGTACATCTGACTTCGAGAGTTTTAATCTAGAAATATGTTTATTTTCAGAATTTACAACTTTGTTGAATATATCTTTCTCTCTAAATAGGATTTTAATGTTATTTTATTTTATTAATTTTACAATTATTATCATTACAGTGAATGAACCAAGGTGATTGGATATTTTTAGTCTGATTGATGCATCATGTTCTTTTATCCTTTTTTTCTAACATTCTTCGTGTTTCTCCAATATAATGAACACTATTTGCACATGTGCATGACAATTTATATATGACGCCAGATATTTCTAATTTATTTTGTTTATTAATTATGCATTCTTTAAATTTATTTTTTAAGTTAGCTGCTAATTCTATAGATATTTTTAAAATTATTTTTAATTTTTTGAAATTATTTTTAATATAAGGAAAAGACATATGTTTTACTTCTTTTTTATATTTGACTTTATATCTGTTGTCTCTGTATTCATTTGTCCATTTTTCTATTCTGTTTGGGTAGTTATTTAGTAAAAACATCTTCTTTAACTTTGCTTTTTCATTTATTCTATACTTTTTATATGTTGTACATGTGTAGATTTTTCTTCAATGCTGTAATGAAGTTGTTCGTTTTTATTTCAAGAGGGCAGTATGATTTGTTATTTATAGTCTTAGATGCAGTTCAATCTTTTTCATACTTTTTAAATGTAACTCCTGTATTGACCTTTATTTTCAAGTTCTATTTCAAATTGAATATTCTTATTTATATTATTTGCAAAGTTTTGTATTTTTAATTCAACTATTTTTTCTGAATTGAATATCATTAAGACATCATCTACAAACCTTACTATATGAATTATAGCTGGTAAAAAATCTATTTTTTGTCTATTCTGTTTATATAGATTTCTGCAAATTTTGGTCCTATGACTGAAACCATACTAATCCCATGTTTTTGGTGATAATATTTATCATCAATTTTAAAGTAATTACTGAAATATGTTACTTGAATTAATTTTTGGATCCACACGTCTATATCTAGTATTTGGAGGTTTTTTCTATCTTTTTCTATTTTATATTGGGATTCATCGAAATTATATCTGTGCTTACTAATTTAAATAAAGGTTTAAATTTTATTTTTAATATTCTATTAATTAATTTGTACGTTGATGTTATTCTATAGTCAGAGTATGGGAAGTCAAATAGTTTCTTTTTAAATAAATGTGCTAAGTTATATAAGCTATTCAAAAAGATTTTTAAAAAACATTCATAGAATTAGCAGCTAACTTAAAAAATAAATTTAAAAATGCATAATTAATAAACAAAATAAAAAGAAACAAAATAAATTGGAAATATCTGACATTATATATAAATTGTCATGCACATGTGCAAATAGTGTTCATTATATTCTTCTTAGCATTCTTAGCATAAAAGGAGATGAAAACCCAGGCTACTCATAGGTATTGCCTGGGTGTGAAAAGAGAAGAGGAAAAGAGGGAGTGAGGGGAAAGTAAGAGGAGGGTGGAAGATGTAAAAAGAAAAGGGAGATAGGATAGTTGGTGAAGGAGGGAGTCTCATGAGTGTTCTGCATTGGCATTTATGGAAATATATACAAAATAATATAAGATGAAATGAGATACAAAATAGATAACGTAGTAGTTAAGATAAAGTAAAAGTACAAAACTATAGAGCTAATTACATAGGATAGGTAAATGAAATACAATGATATATAATACAGTACAAAATTATTAGTTGGTGTAACAATTGCGACAAAGAATAAAATGTGATAATGTACATACAATTCGATACAAAGAATGAAATACGGAAATAATTATACAATATTATAAATGAAATAAAGTGTACAGAACTAGTGAACAAATTACATTATATGTATAATAATATAAGATAAAATAAAGTGTATAGAACTAATGAACAAATTACATTATATCTATAATAATATAAGATGAAATAAATTAATATACTGTAAAATAACTAACAAACAAAATCACGACATGTAAATAATATTTAGGAATAAATACAATTAAAAATAAATACAATTATAAATACAGAAAGGTTATATAAAATTATTAGGGGATAAAATACACAGAAACTATTGAACTAATTACATAAAAATACTTAAATAAGATACAAGTAAGTAATACAGAACAATAACTGTTAACAGAATAGTAATCGCGACAATGAAGTTATGTACATACAGTTCAATATAGAATTTAAAATAAAGTACAATATACAGAAACTATTATGATAAGAATAATTAGATAAAATAAAATCAAATTAAATACTATACAAAAACTAGTGACCAACAATACATTATGTTAAATATTAAATCTAGGAATACAGACAAGCAAATACATTGTAAAGAATTGTGCTCGACATACAAAATTTTGCTGGCATGTATTAACATAAATAAATATACCACATGCAAAAATGTAAATCCGTATATTACAATATCACAATCTGGATTGCATAGTAAAAGTNAAAAAAATATATATATATTTATTTCTACAGTAAAATTTGTCATTTTATTTAGTTATTTTTTAGAAGTTATTTATTTATATTGTGTATGAATTTCTACTGAGAAGTATTATAGATACGAGATAAAATTAGAATTTAAACAGACACCGTGTATAGCCTGTAGCGACTTTATTGCATTATTTTACAGAATTCAATTATTAGAAATAATATATATATCTAGGGATAGCTAAAATAAAGAAGGATATCTCTGGAGATATTATATTTGCTTGAAATGTTGACAACAAAGAGTGTCCAACATGGCTATAGGTGTTGTTTGCGGTGGTTTTGCTTTTATCTTTTCTCCCCATGGAGAACAGCTTCACTTATATTGGAAATAATCTTATTCTCAATACATGTATTTATTTACTATAGTTTCCTATGATTAATACCGTAAAAAATAATTTTAAAAATATCTATATTTATAGCAGCTAACTTAAAAAATAAATTTAAAGAATGCATAATTAATAAACAAAATAAATTGGAAATATCTGGCATTGGAGAAACATGAAGAATGTTAGAAAAAAGGATAAAAGAACATGATGCATCAATCAGACTAAAAATACTCAATCACCTTGGTTCATTCACTGTAATGATAATAATTATAAAATTAATAAAAAATAACATTAAAATCCTATTTAGAAAGAAAGATATATATTTAAGAAGATTTAAAGAACATATAACAATTAAAAATAATAACAACTTAATGAATTTAAACAGCGGGATGATAATTGATGACGCGTGGATATATAAGAATAAAAAGACGTTACGTGATGCGGGATGATTGGTTTAATGGAACTTTAGAGTGGTATTAGATTATTACGAATACTTGGTGTGGTCTTTGTCATAGATGGTACCTATTGTAAAATATTTGCATAAATATTGTAAATTATTTATTTGTTTATATTTGTCTTAAAAATGTTTTAATTGTGAATTTACAAAACAATTTTTTATTCTCTGTAGACTGAGGCAGGATTGGCGGAAATATTAGATCTTAAATGCACATAAATAAAATATCTGGAAATTAAAATTGTTTCAGAGTAATTGTTGAACGTCAGTAAAAAGTTAGATTAGAAGGACATAACAATTTGTTTATTAGTCCAAAAACTCCCTTTTAGGTGGTTAGATAAGTAAATATATATTATTATTGTTTTCTTGGAAAAGTAAACACTACAAAGAAGAGTAGAAGAGAATAACCTTTTAGTGGAGAATAGTCTGAGATAAACGAGATCTGATAATACTCAGGATGTATACTGTTCTAAATAGAGAATGATGAACAACTGAATAATAAAGAAGAATATTGAACTATGAAGACTGTCTTCTGTTATATAGTAGAAAGCTCTTCTTTTATATAGTAATAGAGATTACTTAGAGATTGCTTTTCAACATTTGACTTAGAAGTTAACATCACATCAACATTATTATTATTATTATTATTATTATTTTAAAAATTAAAAATTACCTGTTGCTTGCTCAATATGTTTTTCTGCCAATTACTACACCTAATTTCTCTACTCTTGTTCAATTTTTCTCCTAAAACAGCTTCTGAAATTGCAGAAAGACCCTTTCCTTTACTGAAATAATATTAAATTTATTTCATTGTTATTTAGAGAAAATTTATTAATTTGATTAATTTAAAATCTGATTATTTTACCAAAAGTAAACTCACATATGTTGAGCTTCAGGAATGAGTTCTATCATGTATCTCAAATCTAAACAACCTTTAATTAATATACCATAATCATTGAGTAACTTTGAATAATCTCCATCTATATCAATGCCTACTTTCAAAATACTGAACAATAAATTAACAATTGTGTAAATAAGATTTTGTTGTTAAAATGAACAATTATAATTAATTTTCATATTTACCGATGATTTGCTAAAAGTCTTAATAGTCTAAAAGGAGGAGCACTTTTAAATTTACACAAACGAAACAACACACAAATGTCACGTGCTGTGGCAATCTGCATTAGTGCAATGGGTTGTCGGTTGCCTTTTCGATAAGTCCATTCGCAGTCAAAACCAACCACCTGTAAAAGTTAAACAAATGCTGTCATAGCCAGCTGTCACTTCTATTTCTGCAGGGTATACATATATAAATAAAAACATTCAAACCCAATAGTCATATATTAAAGCCAAACAATTGCCAGATTATAGTGGGAATTATAGGCACTGCATTGAGTGAACTCCTCCAGATAGTGCTGTAAGTAACCGAGTATGGTTATATCTAAATTAATAAATTCTGGAAGCAATGATTGGATGAAGGACTGGGTAGCATAACTGGCAACACAACCACACAGTAAGTGGGAGCTGCAGGTTTGAATCCCTCTTCAGGTTAATTCTTTTCTTCCAGAACCTTATAAATACAGTAGATTCTTGCTAATCTGGCCCTTGATAATCGGATATATCTTTCTCTTATTCATGTTTATTATTTTTTAAAATTCATATATAAGGAGCACTGGAAAGTAATATTGTTTTTGTGCATATCAACATTTATTTAATGCTAATCAGTTGATTGTGTATGCTGAATGTACAAGATATTTCTGCAAGTTGAAAGTGACTTCTTTTCTTTTGTTTTATAAATCAGTTTCATTTTTTTAACATCTCTGTTTGAACTGTCAAGCCAAAAACCAGAAGAGTTGCTATTTGACATTGCAAGTTATTTGAGTTTCAGAAAGGTAGTGATGTAGCAAAAGCTATAAAAACATTTGTGATGTTTATCCAGTCACATTAGATATCCGTAAATGCCAAAGATGGTTTGCTAGGTTCAGGTTGGGTAATTTTGATCTTTGTGATTCGCCTTGTTCAGGAAGACCAGTGTCTTTTGATGATAATGTTTTATGGGCAAAAGTGGTAGTGAATCCTTGTCAAATGATTGAAGAGTTATCAGATAAACTTAACACACCTTGGTTGACATCAAGAACATTTGAAGCAGATTAGTAAAGTTAACAGAGAAGAGTTCCACATACACTATCAAAAGAAAATGAAGCTAATCTTTCAATCACCTGTAATTTGTTGTTGCAACAACATAACACAGAAGCATTTCTTGATCACATGGTGACTGGAGATGAGATATGGATCATTTATGACAATCCCAAACATAAAAGACAATGGCTCTATCCCAATCAAACCCCATTAGCTACCCCAAAGTCAGGCTTATACCCCAGAAAGGTACTGTTGTCTGTTTGGCGGAATACCCAGAGAATAATCTATTTTGAGGTGCTAGAACCAGGTCAAACCATTGCAGGGCTTTATTGCCAACAATTAGATCAAGTAAACCAAGCTTTGATTGAAAAGTATCTAGCCCTTGTTAACAGAAAAAGTGTCATTCTACAGCATGACAATGCAAGACCACACACTGCAAGACTCTGGATAAAATCAAAGAATTGGGATGGAGATGTTACCTCACCCACCTTATTTGCCTGATATCGCACCCTCAGGTTACTATTTATTCAGGTCTTTGCAACATTTCTTGAGTGGTAAAAAATTTTGAAATGTGGAAGAAGTCAAAAATGGAATTTCCAAGTTTTTTGATCAAAAACCATCTTTGTTCTACAGATCTGGAATTGAAAATTTGCCCACAAGGTGGCAAAAGATCATTGATAATGAGGGTAATTACATCATTGACACAAATTAAAAATATATTATAAAATTATTTGTTTTAATTTTACGAAAAAATGACATTACTTTTCAGTCCCCCTTATAGTAAAGTTGCAACGTTCAATAAAGAGTCAAACTTGCAATTATTGTATCCCTGTGCATAATTTCACAATAACAAAATACAACTCCAAAAAGAATCAGTATGGAAGAGCAACAGGCAATCTGGTTCATTGCCTTTAGTCCTATATACTCATGAGTCAGCAATCTAGCTTGCTTCTGTGCAAGGAATAGCTGGATTAGCAAGAGTCTACTGCATAACTTACGGTGGTCAGACATGTGATTAGTGTGGCACAATCCTATTGTTGTTGGAAGGAGTTAGTTAAAAAGTTTCAATTATTCATTTTGCCGTTTTGGCCTGAAAAACTGGATATATTATAATTAAAATATGATCATTCAATAATACAAAATAAATGTTTTCATGAGGATGAGATCATCATCACTTTTTAGAACAATCAGTACAAAGCTTACATTAGAATGTACTGTACTAGAACAATAGGTATCAGTTGAAACAAGAAAGATGGTAACAATCAGTGTGTCTAACAGCATTATGGAATTCAAAATGCCAAATTTCATAAAACTCATCAGTATTTATCATATTAATGTTATCATTTGGATATTATTATTGGTATAGGCAAGTCCCAGAATGACTGCAGTATGTAAATTTTACTGTATTAATTTTAAATTCATAAAACAAAAACAAAGAATTTAAAACAAGCAGTTATTTACAGTGAGATCATCACAATGCCAGGCTGCAATTTTTTATCATATTTTCCATTTATTTAATTTAAAATATATGCTCTCCACCTCAAATTAGTATTGTAGTGTGTTTCCCTGTATGCCATACTTTTCCTTTAACAATAGAGTTATACCGATTATCAATCTAACATCTTTCAGGAAAAAATTTTTGAATTACAATAACATGACTTCCAGTTTACATCAGAAGTTTATACATAGTTAATTGAGGCCTCCTGCCCCAATGTTTCTATATCTGGTCTCAGATTTCATCTATCTAACTCCATTCTCAAGATTAAGGAAAGACAGATGGACGGACGGACAGATAAATTTACAGGTCTACAATTTTTTCAAATTGCAGACCAATTAATATAATAGAATTCTCATAATGTAATCACTATGGGACTTGTCTGTACTAATAACAATAACCAAATGATAACATTATATCATATAAATTAGTGAAAATTCTGGTTTTATTGACTAACACTAAAGAATCTTTAGAACAATTATGAAATGTGTAACTTCAATATTTATTAATCATAATTATTATTAATTCATCCAGTATTGTTTGCCTATTTTTTTTTTTTGCAATACAGTACTGCCAATAACATGTATTGTATAATTAAAGAAAGTAATGTCAACTATTTAGACTATCATACTGTGAGCAAACAATGATTAAAATAATTAAAATTTAGTGAGATTGAAAAGAATTGCATGCTACCAATTATATGTTAAGGCTCATAAAAAAAGAAATCTTAAAAATGAATATTTGGGAAGATGATGATAATTATAACCAGAAATGTGGAGTTGGAATTAGAAATAAATTTGTTGCTACATGTGTAGGAGTCAGTAAAAATGGACTGACTCCTATTTTTTTGAGCTATTTAATTTATCTTAAGTTCCTAATAACAGCATTAACTCCTATCTTTCATTATAGGAGTCTCCTGTAATGCAAGATCTTATTTTATGATGATTTTGCTACTTCATGATCTTCTTTGGATATCACTAACTACTGTTGATTTTCTTTGCAGAAATTTAGATTCAAATGCATTCTATGTTAGCTAATTCTAAATTTTTATTGTCAAAAGAACCATACAAAATGGCTAAGATTTTGGTTAAATCTAGTGTTTTTGAATACTTCGATATAACCACAGATGGAAAACATTTTGTGTATCAATGTGTGGTCAAAGATGAAGATAATGGTAATGATAATAAAAACTCTATGAAAAAAAATAAGTATTTTCAGTTTCCATAGGAATGCTGAATGATTAACTTAAAAAATGCTTAAGAAGTAGCCTGACGATTCTCTTGGTACTGATGAAATTGCCATTCTCGATTAATATAATCAAAGTATACATTAAATTATCTAAAAGCAGGAGTCAAAGTTTGACCTTCTGAAATTCTGAGTCATATTTGGAGTTGGAGTCAGACCATCTAAAATTCTATGAACTGGCATTGGAATTGGAGGTTTGGTCTACCCAACTCCAAAGCCCTGTCAAATTTTGAATATAATAAGTGAATTTTAAAAAGTTATTTTAACACATGTTTTGGAACTTGCTATTTTCTGATAACTTTAATAACTAATAATATAATAATATATAATAATAAGTAGATTTTACTGTAGTAATAAACGTATTTCTTTGAAGTGCCTTTATCATTTTTATAGCTAATCATTAGTGAATTTAGCTATAATATATGATTCATACTTAAATATCATTATAAACAAACCTCCTGAGTATGACTCACCATAAAACAAATTGTACACATTAACTCATCTGTATTATGTAAAAATTATATTTTATGTAAATATAAACTTACAATAATATACCATTTATTATTTATAAAATAATTATATATAAAATTCATGTAATCTAAGGTAATCTAAGATATAAGTAGCAAGATTTTAAGATAAATAATAATATAATTTCAATATTCAATGTGATAAATTTATTTAAAAATTAGTTTTATAAATATTTCCTGTAAAATATATATAAACTAGCTGTAAATTGCCCTATCAAGACTATATTTCTGAGAATTAACTTTATGTAAAAATTCATTAGAATAAAATTTTAAAAATATAATCACTTTTTGTGTAATGCATGCTGAAGTAAATTCATCTTCAATCTTTTCCCAATCTTCTAAGCAACTACAGATATAAATTTTATGATGCAAACCCTTTTTCCTTCTAAAAAATTTATATAGCAAGACAACACCTGTAATTAAATTTGTTATTAAGTCGTATACATTTTTATATTTTCTAAGCCATAATTATACTTTAATAACACAAAACAGGCATTATGTTAAGTGAGTATTGAGTCGCTAGCAAGAAATGCAAATGTGTTAGAAGTAAATTTTCATGAAAATAGACTCAAAATTACTTTTATAAAACAAAAAAATATGGAAAAGTTTATTAATTTTAACGATAATAAATCAAACCTATAACAGCTGTAGCTGTACTAAGAGAAAAGGCGAGTTTCTTCCAAGAAAACATAAACACGTGCTTTTCTAACCACGTTTTCAAACAAACAAACACCCCCTCGCGGATAAAAACNTTTCCTATTTGTTTTTGGCTACATTAAAGCATTTTTTGAAAATATACAGTAAGGTTCCATATTACCACCCGATTTTCTCTAAGTTTACTTTCTGCCTCTTTGTACAAAAGCCTTCAAAAACCATACTTATAGTTACACTAACGAAAAATCCAATTAGGAACATTTAGTTTAATAGTTACAAGTACTTTTTGCACAAAAAATGTGGGTGTAGTTATCATATACCTTGTTTACAATTCACTAAAATGTAATTGGGGTTCCATAATACCACCTTCTCCTCTACCTTTAGGCAGACATTTAGCTATTCGGCAGTTGTCGGCAGTCAAACCAACAATCCATTATCAACAATGAAAAAAAACCAACACTTTATTATCAATAATGCAAAAATCAACAATGTATTATCAACAAACCAACAATTAGCATTTATTTATTATTTTTCCAACAGATGGTGTTACATTTAAAGATGCTTAATTTATGTATTACCCTTATATTTTAGGGTAATACATAGCTTAGTGTCGATTCCAGAGTCTAAGTAATACTGATATAAACTTTGGTCCAGATCGATTTAAGAATAAAGAATTGTATAAAGGACAAACCAACAAGAATTGATTTGAACCAACAAGTATCTTTCCCTCATGTGCATTGAAAATTAATTTAAATAACAACGTCATCATCGATGATTGTGTTGTGACGTTTAATGACACCATGCGAATCTCAGCGGCACTAACTTCTGAATTGGCATTCCTGTCGCTGATTGGTCGGGCCTTCGAGTTTCCTTAACATAGGAAGTATAGGAAGTTGACCTTCTTCGGCCTGCTCTGCCGAGTTGCTTGTTCTTAAATCGAGTTATGGTACGGAAACCGGAGCAAATATGGCGTTAAAAATTCTGTTTGTGAAGTGGTTCGAAAACCGAGATTTGACTGTTCGGTTGGGTTCGGATCATCGTTCAAAGTTTCTCGTGTGGTTTAGATAGTCGTTCAATATTCAATATTAAAATTAGCATCAATCGAAGTCATATTCAATCTTTATTATAATTTGGAAATAATAAATCATGGACAATACAAATAAATTAATAATTATTTCACTAATTTTCGTTTTACAATTGATTACACGTGTTATTGAATTATGCAAAGTAGAAATAACGTTCACAAGATGATGAATTTCCAATAATTTTTATTAAAGAAACACGAAATCGCTTAAATTTAATATACAAACGGGTTAAAATATAGCTCGTTAAACCAATCTATAAGCGAATGACTATTGCTTCGGAATTAATGTTTGTCGTTTTATTACAACTAAAGAAATCTTTGTATGCTTTCCTGTATTCGGTATCCATGATAGCATAAATTATGGGGTTAATACAACCGGTAAGGAAGTAACCAATGCAGTATATAATATTTAAAACAGGTGGAATTTTGTGTATTTTAAAAAATTAACACTTAGCAGTGGAAAGTAACAGAAGAGGAAAGTTAAATAAATCACAATAATTATCTTCAACAGTTTCAAATTACTCGATGATTTCAGCTTTACTTCAATTTCTAATGTTTCTATGTTTACTTGGAAACAGTTCAAGATATTACAAGATGTTTTATCATCTTTCTTAATCGGTTGCTGACCATACCTGAAATTCTTCTGAAATTTTCTGACGATCCAGAATATCTTCGAGTAACAGAAAGCAATTACCAAAGTAGGAAAAGCAAGTATACCGATTGTAATGATGAAAAGAAAATTTCTGAAAGATTTACCATTCACATCAATCATGGTACAGTACATGTGCCTATTTCGGAATTAAATTCGAATTTTATCCAAACACCGAGACCCGTGGGCATCCAAACGAGAAAAACACCAACCAGATGCAGGAGATTATGATAGAAATACTGATCTCAGAGTAGAACTTGGAGTAACTTTTAGGATAGATGATGATGATATATATGTTAATGGTAATGGCGATTATGGTCAAAACAGATACTATAGAGTTGGAGTAACGTATTAACGGATAGATCATGCATAAAAAACTGTAGTACGTCCATGTTCGGTATATGAATATGGAGGTAACTAGTGGAATGGTGAAGACACAATATAATCCATCGGCAGTGCATAGGTTGATGATGAATGCTGTGGTGGCATCCCTCAGTCGACGAATTTTGAGCAGAGCGATGATAGTGATGATGTTTCCTAAGACTCCAATAACAACGAAGAAGATGCAACAAGCAAAGTACAGTAAAGATCCAATAACAACGAAGAAGATGCTGCAAAGTACAGTAACTCAGGAGGATACGTATCGAAAAAAGAGATAACAGTGGTGTTAGTGAAATTATAATTATCACTGGAAGCTTGTTTGTAATTCACGTTGAAGAACAAATGAATGTAATAAAATTTAGAAGGAAATATTTAACGGGTGTAACAACCTTCGTTTTATGATTCATTAATGCTGATTAATTGGAAGTTTCGAAGAGGGAATTTGGAATCCTTCGAAGAATTATTAAATAAAGAAACGATAAATTAACAGTAAGTAAAATAAATATTGTTTGTCTGTCGGTGTGTCTACGCGAATTCGAGCTTAGAAACGAATATTAGCATTCAGTATCAATTTTATTTATTATAATTATACAATGTAGTGAAATATGAAGGTTTGTTTCCAGTTGTTACTAAACGGAAATTACTTATGAGGAAATTTTCTATACACAAATTTGGAAATTTCGGAAAGATGCATCCTGCCAAAAGAATCTCAACTATAAAATTCTAAGTTACAATTTTATATTAAAACAACTGTTAAATTCGTCAAAAATGGCGGATTGTTTTAAGAGAAATTTCAATTCAAAAATTCTACCGATAAAATGCGGTTTGCGCGGAGTTGGTGATGTATAGATACAGTATTAGATTTCAAAAATTATTTAATTACAATTGAAAAATAACATTGTAACAAACAATTTTTTAGTTTGGTTTCAATATGGTTTAATTAATGGGATAAAGTAACGCAACACATGAGTGATTGCAAGACATAGCGGAAGAGATTTCCATTAGCGTAACCGGGGAGGGGTCGGTCCCCCGAGCTCCTTAGCTTCGTAAATAAATTAAGAAAAAAATCAATTAAGTTCAGGGAAAAGATTTGAATGTGGCAAACGTATTTATACGTATGTATACACAATACAATACCTAAGAGTTGATTATTCATCCACAGTCTAGTGAATTTATCCATAGTAGTACAAGGTAAATACAGGTTTGCTGACGTTTTAATTTGGTTTTTCCTCTAATGTAGGTTTTAGTCATTCTATTACATGCAAACTCACCAATACGAAATATGTGACGGTGTGAGCGACAAAAGAGTATCGTATGCATGATGCACGCCTGTTTAATTAAGGACAATTTATGAAGTTTTTTTTGCCGTTCTCAGCACCACATATCCCGTAGTAGTGAGTATTTGAACTGAACTTTCCTTCGTGGATTGGTTCTGTGCATGTTCTGGAATATCAACATGGTAAATTTGGTTAGGTTAGGATTGCAGAATTTTCTTCAAGACATCGTTAAATAGAGCTACTTTAATTATGATTTCCTTTTAAATTTCCGTCCCGTAGGTAACAAGATAGCCTTTATATCAGGCATGAGCTTATAAAGGCTTTCACGAGTTTTGATAGATTCCAATGAGATGACCATTGCTCTCGGAAAGCGAAACCATCGCGCGAAATGGAATCGCTTAGTCGCGGGACAAAAAATCTCGCTCTCTCAGATATCTGACACTGATTTTTATCGCGGTTTGAGGGTTTTTGCTTTATACTGCGCTTGTGCATTAGTTTCTTACTCATTTCTGGTGTTTGAAGTATTCAAACATAACTTCTTCAGCGTTTAGGGGAGAGAAGAAAAACGATTAAAATTTCTTTCGCGAGAGATTTATTAATTCACAAGTCCGTTACCGAGTAATCAGAAATATAGAATAAGCGATTTAAAACTATTCGAAATAAAGGTATTGAACGTCGTCTTCTGACCATTTTAATTTTACACCTTGAAAGAAAAAGAAGAATTCAGGCTATTGTATGGCAATTTTATCGAGAGCGAGAAACTAGAAAGCAAGAAACAAGATAATCTGATACCATTACATTCGCTTTCATCTTTATAAATCTTATTAGAAAGAATTTATCACTCGACTTTTATCAAATATATAGAATATTGTATAAATTATAGATTATTTTATAAGTGACTCATATGTGCTGCTCTATTTCTTCTAGTCTTTTCAGAACAAATGAATAGTTCCTTGTATGCTTTTCTATATTCACTGCTCATGATGACATAAATAATAGGATTAACACAACCGGTAAAAAAGTATCCAATGTATCCTATAATGTTCAAAATAGGTAAACTTTCTTCTTTTCTAAAGATTTTAACTATTATCAAAGGAACGTAACAGAAGATAAAAGCCAAAAATATCACCAGAATTACCTTCAACAGTTTTAAATCTTTCGAAGTTTTCCGGTTTTCCTGAATTTTTGAAGTTTTCTTCTCTGTTCTACAGCAATTTAATTTGCTGCAGATGCTTCTCTCTTCTTCTTTTATTATTTTTCTTCTCGCCTGCAAACTTTTTTCCGATTTTCTGACGACCCAATAAATCCTCGAATAACAGAATGCAAACACCAAAGTGGGTGCACAAAATGCCATAAAAAAAAGAAAGTTTTTGGAAGATTTACCATTCACATTAACCATGGTACAAGTGCCCACTTGGGGATTAAATGCGAATTTTCCCCAAATACCGAGAGCTGTGGGCACCAAAAGGAGAAAAGATACCAACCAGATGCAGACAATGCTGATAGAAATGCTAATTTTAGTATAGATCCTAGAGTAAATTTTCGGATGGACGATGATAACGTATCTGTTAATGGTAATGGCCATAATTGTCAAAACAGATACTGTAGCATTAGAGTAACGTATCAACGGATAAATCATGCAGAGATAGTTGTCATATATCCATGTCATGTGTATAAATGTGGAGGTAGCAAGTGGAAGAGTGAAGGCACAGTAAAATCCATCGGCAGCGCATAGATTGATGATGAATGCTGACGTTGCATTCCTCAATCGAGGACTTTTGAGAAGAGCGATAATAGTGATGATATTCCCAGGCACTCCAATAACAACGAAGCAGCTGCAACAAGCTGCTGCAAAGTACAGTAACTCAGGAGGATATTTATCGAAGAGATTAATAACGATAGTACTATTACTCAAATTATAATTGTTACTCGAGGAGTCTTGCGAGTAGTTCATGTTAGAAACTTAAATGAAAATGAAAATATATGAGAGGAACTGTGTTTAACGGATGTAGTAACGTTTGCTGAATAATAATGTTACGTGAAAGACATAAAAATTCTGATAAAGGAAGGAAGTTTCAAAACAACGAAAAGATTTATAAAATAAATTAATTTTATTGAAAAGTAAATGATCAAATTAATATTATTAAATTGTTAATTAATTAATTAATCATCCTGTTTGACATCGAACTTAAGGGAAATATAAAAGGTTCGCTTTACGACGGTTGAGGTTTAAAGCGAGATCTGTTGTACATTTTTCTTTTGTTTCTATATAGTAAGCCTATATTTATAAAAATTTACAGCAAAACCTGAAACGAGCTAAAGTTTAGGGTTTTAAGTTATGAGAGGCCTCGATGATTCTCAAACACAATATGTGTTTATCGTTATTTGATGGAGAGAAAGTATTTATATGTTTTCCTTAAGATCATAGTAAGTGTAAATACATATATAAGGCTCATATTGGCGATTGTAAGATCGTAAAACAGAACTTATCTGTTAAAATCGCTAACCAAGCATCTTACTGATAGCTTCTCAGAGGTTCTGTGTTCAGAATTTTCAGTATACATGTTGTTATAGTGATCTTCGAACGTTGGAATGTCTATACGACACAGAAAAAACGTTACATACAGCTGACGGAGTTTGGGAAAGGTCTCATCATCGTGCTGAAAGAAACAGGATGGCCATTCAAATTGACCATCGTCTGATCGTTCTGACTTGATTGTGGGCAGTTAGGGCTGTGAATATGTTAGGGCACACATGCAGCGAGCGAGCGCTGTAAGTCCAGACAGCCTATCAAGAGAGATAATCAGCTTTTGAGGCAGGCATTAACAGCTGCAACAGTGTTTTTTCCTCGCCATTTAGAGACAGGTACAAATCTCGCTACAGAACCCTTTTGGCATGCGATTCCTGTCATTAGCATTGTCGTCTTTTTGCAGTACTGTAATGCTATTTTATAAATGTGTGGATTACTACCGACTGGCAATGTATTGTCTTTAGTAACAAATCCGTTTTCGAACAACTTTTAGGGACAAATTAAGTTCAAAACCCGAGGTTTTACTATATTTCGTACGACTAGATCATCCCTAATATTATCAGGATGTATATTCAAGAAATCCTACGCCCTCGTGTATTGTCATTCATGATATGACTGCAAACAGCAATTTTCCAGCAAGATAATTTTCGCACACAGATTTTTCCAAAAAAGTGTCCTACACGTTACACCCTTTTCGGCCTGTCCAGACTCTACATTTGTTATCATTGAGCATTTATGGGACCAAATAAAACGTCAAATTCGACTAATAGTGGAGTTGCAGTAGCAACTTCTGTGGGAAATCTGTAGCAGGATGATATCTATATGCCTCCACATTCTACTATGACACCGCCTGTATTCAGGAAAGAGAATGTCCTAAATGGTACGAAAGGTTTTTTTTTAAATTGTACCGTCACTCTGTACAAAATTGTTGCTTTGCTGTGATACTGTAATCACTTAAGACCGACTGACACTCTTTTCTTTGTGCGAAATTTTTTCTCAATGAGTATATTTTATAATAATTACTAATACTTAACGTTAAGTCAAATGAGACCACCATTAATCACCATTGAATGATTCAACAGACGGAAACAGTAATTTAACACTGTCTTTTATCGATAATCAGATTACGTAAATATTTTAATGATTATTAAACAAGTTTATTTACAAATTACTTGAAAAGATTAATAATTACTTTTTACATACAGTATATACATTATAACAATACAACATTAAATATTTATTACAGGCTACTTATATACCGTAAATAATTATTATACATTATTTATTCAATTAATAACTGAATATTTTTAAACTAAAATGTATGAAAAAATATTTTAAAACGTTATACATACATAAAAATAAAATAAGTATTAATGTCATTTTTCAAATTAAATAAAATAATTTTTTCATTAAAAATATTAAAGAACATTTAAAAATGTAGGCTGATTTATAAACTTGTATTGCGTGTCTCTGTAACGCTGTGAACTGTTTTATTACAGACGAATAATTCTTTATAAGCTCTTCTGTATTCTCTGCTCGTAATGACGTAAATAATAGGATTGATGCAAGCGGTGCTATAACCTCCAAGATAGCCTAAGATGTTCAATGCGGGGAGGCTCTTCTCCTTTTTAAAGATTTTCACAAAAATAATGGGAGTATAACAGAACACGAATGCTAAAAATATCACCAGAATCACTTTTAACACTTTTAAATCTTTAGATTGCTTTTGCTTTTTTTCTCTTTCCGATTTTTCCGCTTTCTTTCCACAACATTTTAATTTAAGGTTCACACTCTTCTCTTCTTTCTTTAATTCATGCCCGATTTTTAATTTTCTTTTCGATTTTCTGACGATCCAGAATATCCTGGAGTAACAAAACACAAAAATGAAACATGGAATAACAAATGCCAAGATGTGAATAAAAGTTTTCGACGATTTTCCGTTAACTTTCACCACCGTACACGTCCCCACTTCGGGATTAAAAGCGTATTTTCCCCAAATTCCAAGAGCAGTGGGTGTCATCAATGCAAAGGATACCAACCATATAAACGCGATGATAACAGAAATGTTCATCTTAGTATAGATCTTCGTGTAGCTTTTGGGATGGACGATGATGACGTATCTGTTGATTGTAATGGCAATAATGGTGAAGAGAGAAACAGCAGCATTTGAGGAACGAAATAGAGGGAAAATCATACAAAGAAAGTCGCTGTAGATCCACGTCTTGTGTATGAACATGGACGCTGCGAGCGGAAGACTAAAAATACAAAATAGTCCATCTGCCACGCACAAATTGATGATAAATGCCGAGGTGACATTTCTCAATCGAGGACTTTTAAGTAAGGCTACGATGGTCACGAAGTTTCCTGGCACTCCAATAAAGACGAACACAATACAAGCAGCTGCTGCGAAGTACAGTAACTCCTTTGGATACGTTTCGAAAAGCGGAACAGTTGTTACGTTACTGACAGAACTGTCGTTCGTTAAAACAGAATCATTTATAAACAGAGTAACATTAGTAAAATCTGTACTTTGATTCCAATTTGACATCTCTAGCGAGCCGTTCATGCTGGAAAGTGAATCAGAAAAACGTTGAAGGAAATACATCAAACTTCCGTTTGATATTTGCACTTTATCTATAAGTTTAAGACATTACTGGAAACAGGAGACATTTAGAGAGAGAGAGGAACGAGCATGACTTTCAGACCGTGAAATAACAAAGGACACTTTGGATTGTAACATTTAGTAAATTATTAAAAATTTGACGTAAATTTAAATATTATACTATTATTAACAACGAATATGTTAAAAACAGCTGCTAATGTGCGTTAGTTTTGTCAACGTATTCTTTTTAAGAATGTGCTGAGTATGTGTGCATCAGCACATTTTTAAATCGATTAAATATGCTGTAAAATGAATATACAGCGTTTTATCACAATTACGTATATACATTGTCATGCCAGAAAAATAGAAACACCNGCATATTCCGGAAATTTCCCCCTTTTATCGATTAAATTATATTAATTTTATATAAAATATTTTATTAAATAAATTTATTTACAAATCTGTTAATTTATTAAAAGGCGTGTAATTATCCTTTTCACATATTTGCATTATAACAATATAATACTACTTATTATAGGATGCATATATGCATACATATAATGTATTTAATTGTATAGTTTAATGCAAAATGTAAATACTGCATATGAACAAACGCTTAAAAAATGTAGTTTATAAGCTTGTAGTGCGTGTCTCTGCAACACTATTAACTTTATTATTACAGATGAATATTTCTTTATAAGCTCTTCTGTATTCTCTGCTCATAATGACATAAATGATAGGATTGATACAAGCGGTGCAATAACCACCAAGGTAGCCTATGATATTCAAAATAGGCATGCTCTTCTCTTTTTTAAAGATTTTAACAAATGTAACAGGAGAATAACAGAGGATGAAAGCTAAAAATATCACTAGAATCACCTTTAGCAGTTTTAAATCTTTAGATTGTTTCTGCTTTCTTTCGCTTTCCGATTTTTCCGCTTTCTTCCCGAAACATTTTATTCTAAAGTTCACGCTCTTCTCTTCCTTCTTTAATCCATGCCCGATTTTTAATTTTCTTTCCGATTTTCTGACGATCCAGAATATCCTGGAGTAACAAAAGATGAAAGTGAAACTTGGTATAACAAATGCCAAGGTGTGAATAAAAGTTTTTGACGACTTTCCGTTAACTTTCACCACTGTACACGTCCCCACTTCGGGACTAAATGCGTATTTTCCCCAAATTCCGAAGGCAGTGGGTGTCAGCAATGCAAAAGATACCAACCAGATAAACGCGATGATAACTGAAATGCTCACCTTAGTATAGATCTTCGTGTAGCTTTTGGGGTGGACGATGATGACGTATCTGTTGACCGTAATGGCAATAATGGTGAAGAGAGAAACGGCAGCGTTTGAGTAACGAAGCAGAGGGAAAATCATACAAAGGAAGTCACTGTAGATCCACATCTTGTGTATGAACATGGACGCTGCGAGCGGAAGACTAAAAATACAAAATAGGCCATCGGCCACGCACAAATTGATGATAAATACCGAGGTGACATTTCTCAATCGAGGACTTTTAAGTAAGGCTACGATGGTCACGAAGTTTCCAGGTACTCCAATGAAGACGAATACAATACAGGAAATCGCTGCGAAGTACAGTAACTCCTTTGGATACGTTTCGAAAAGCGGAACAGTTGTTACGTTACTGACAGAACTGTCGTTTGTTATAACCGAGTCATTTATAAACACAGTAACATTAATAAAATGTGTGCCTTGATTCCAATTTGACATCTCTAGCGAGTCGTTCATGCTGGAAAGTGAATTAGAACAAGATTGAAGGAAATATATCAAACTTCCGTTTGATATCTGCAGTTACTCATAATATTAACACCCTACCAGGAATCAGACACGTTTAGAAATGGAATTTCCTTAGGATATTCTTAAAAATAGGTTACGAAATAATTACACAGATTTTCATCACAAATACATGTCTATATAATTTATATAAAATAGAATATCTGAATGCCTCTCTGTTTTCTACACATTTCTTGATAAAAGCCATTTAGATTGCTAGTGCATGCAGTTAAGCAGAATACATTGGAAAAATAATTGGGAGAATACATTGGGAACATAATAAAGAATATTTGGAGAGCAGAATGAGGGTATAATAGACTATTGAGAGAATACATTAGAAGAATACAAGGTAAATTCACGCACTAAAAAATTAATATACATTTTGTTATTTTTATTTTATATTTTTGTTTGAAGTATTGGTTTCATAAATTACGATAAGTTTTCATGTTCTTTAATAACTAAATACGATCGAACCTACAGTAACGGCCACTTTCAAACGGCGGCCATTTTTTCGGGAACTTTTTCATTTTAAATGCCTCAAAAAAACGATAATTTTTTAATATTCCTGTCATTTTACAGGTTTCATTGTATAAGCAAATTTTAGATATAAGCAACATAGACTCTTGAATAGAGCCTTGTATACTTAGGATCTCAGACAATAGTAGTAATGCCTGGTCTTGGTCCAGTATTTGGCAGCATAATACTGGAATATTGGGAGAATCGACTACATTAGCAGATCATATGTAATACGAATTTACAGTATTTTTATGCTAATTACACGCGGTTATCTGTGCTTGAAAGGGAGTGAATGATATGCGATGGGGTTTTTATGCCGATTTTAAGCTGAAATTACGAACTCACGGAACAATTTTTCCTTTGTCTAAAGCCGTTAAGAGCGCCTTTAAAAATTCCTATGCGCACAGCAGATTTGTTATTTTTCCCTAAACCATCACCAAAATCACGTATACGCTTACCTCCTCTTTAGTATTTTCCTATTCATTTTCTGTACATTCAATCACCTGTTTAATTGGACACTCCTACTCGAATTTGTATCTTGAAAGCTGATAATTTTCTAGTGATTATCTCCTATATACAAAATATCATTTTAGAGAACTTTGACCGTTGAAACACGTGTCGTTTTACGTAGAATTGTTATTTTAATAAACAATCTATATTATATTTAAAACGATAGCATTTGCTTGACAATAAACAAAACCAAATGAAGAATTTAATCACGTGTTGTGTGTAAATGCGTGTTTTTAAAAATATATTCACAACTTATTGGATTTATAGAAGATATTTTTATTATATATATTTACACTATAAAAATATCATATAGAAGTCATCTTAAGCTACTTATAAAAAATACACATAACTAATATCATTTGTTAAATTATACATTTGTGCATTAAAAATATTAAGAAATGTAATTTATGAACGTGTAGTGCGTGTCTCTGCAACACTATTAACTTTATTGACACAGATGAATAATTCTTTGTAAGCTCTTCTGTATTCTCTGCTCATGATGACATAAATGATAGGATTAATAAATGCGGTGCAATATGCACCAAGATATCCCAAGATGTTCAATGCTGGAAGATTCTTCTCCTTTTTGAATATTTTAACAAATATAACAGGAAAATAACAGACGACGAAAGCTAAAAATATTACCAGAATCACTTTTAACAGTTTTAAGTCTTTCGATTGTTTCTTCTTTCTTTCGTTTTCCGATTTTTCTGCCTTCTTTCCAAAACAATTTAGTTTAAAGTTCATGCCCTTCTTTTCCGTCTTTAACCCACGCCCGGCTTTTAATTTTCTTTCCGACTTTCTGACGATCCAGAATATTCTCGAGTAACAGAACACGAAAGCCAAACTAGGTATAAAAAATGCTATGATGTAAATAAAAGTTTTCGACGATTTTCCATTGACTTTCACTACGGTACACGTCCCCACTTCGGGATCGAAAGCGAATTTTCCCCAAACTCCAAGAGCAGTGGGTGTCATCAATGCAAAGGATATCAACCAGATAAATGCGATGATGACAGAAATGCTCACCTTAGTATAGATCTTCGTGTAGCTTTTTGGGTGGACGATGATGACGTATCTGTTGACCGTAATGGCAATAACCGTGAAAAGAGAAACAGCAGCATTTGAGTAACGAAACAGAGGGAAAATCATACAAAGAAAGTCGCTATAGATCCACGCTCTGTGAATGAAAGTTGATGCTGCGAGTGGGAGAGTGAAAGCGCAATATAATCCATCAGCTACACAAAGATTAATAATGAATGCTGATGTTGCATTTCTCAATCGAGGGCTTTTAAGTAGAGCGACGATGGTCACGAAGTTTCCAGGCACTCCAATGAAGACGAACACAATACAAGTAGCTGCTGCGAAGTAAAGTAACTCCTTTGAATACGTTTCGAAAAGTGTAACAGTCGTCGTTACGTTACCGACATAACTATCGTTCGTTAAATTTAAATCTTTTGTAAATGATGTAAAGTTAATAAAATCTACACTTTCAGAAGAATTTGACATCTCTAGCGATTCCTTCATGTTTTAAAGTGAATTTAAATAAAAAAACAATGGAGGAAATGCATCGAACGGAAGTTGCGTTAAGATCAGAATGTTATCACGTTTCCTGAAACTAAAAATGGTTAGTCACAAGGGAAAATCCAAGTGGAATTTTCGAAAAAATTAAACGAAATTATTTACTTATTTCATTATTATTTTAAATATTCGCTATTTATTCAATTGATTACAACTATTACACACATCTACAGTCTGTCTTATCAATTGTATACACTATACATTCGATGTTACGTAAGTCGAAACAACGTCGAAACTATAAAGCTAAAGTTTTATAATTTTATATTATATTAAANGATAAAAGTGATCGCTACGTCTAGCACGGCGAGTAGACAATCGACTTAAACTTCATTTTTTTGTGTTTAGTTTAAAATTATTATTTATTTTATAAAAATAATGATTATGTAAGCAGTTTCGAATAATATTGTAAAGAAACGGACGATTTTGATCGGTCGATAAAAGTGATCGCTACGTCTAGCACGGCGAGTAGACAATCGACTTAAACTTCATTAAATAATGTTTAGTTTAAAATTATTAAGCTATATATCTCTTATTATACCTTAACTCAATAAAACGTGTTTACAGTATGAAGCGGATTCACTTATTATGTAGATCTTATGGCCTTCATGCAACAACGATTCTACAGTATATTCTACGTTGTTGCATGAAGGCCATGGAATCTACATAATATGCTTTACACATATATACGTATGTGTATAAAGACGTACTACACATTTTAATTTCACTTTAAGGAAATAGAGCATGCTGGTTTTTAAATTATTGCAATACTTTTATTATTGTTATGTATCAGTTTAATAAAGTTTAATCTCAAGAATTGATCTTTAGTAATAAGGAACGTCAAGGAGAAAGAGAGTGCATACATGCATGAACATAATAAACACACAAACAAACACACATGATGTTTGTACTGTTAACTATTTTGTGTAGAGACACAAAATAGTTAACAGTTAAAGGTGCTGGCTTTTATTTATAACATAAATTATAAGCGTGAGATTGTATACGAATGCATTAAACTCACACTAACGACGCCATTTTTGTACTTATTAAATACAGTACTAACGAAAAAATGTATTATATAAATAAAATATAGTTATAAAATTCCACTTCAGATGGCGACGTCATCGCGAATATTTAAATAATTTTAAAATAATTGAAATAATTAGAAATCTTGGTTTAATCATACGCTAAAAATGTTAAAATATTTATACATATAAATTTTAGTCAATAATATTGATTTTAAAAAGACATTAATAAATTAAGTTAAAAGTCACAAAATTGAGGTTTTTACACGAGGGTCCAAATTCGATTTCTTCTTATTAAATATATAACTTATATACGAGTTAAAATCTTTTATATAATTATTATCGAAATAAGTTGTTTTAATGACATTTAATTATACATGTGTGTATGTTTATATGATACCAAATAGCTCACAAAGAAAGCAAGAGCCTAAAGAAGGGGTTTATGAATATAGTAAAGATTCATGGTGAAAGTTTTAATATGGGTCTTTATTAAGGACTTCCGGATCAAAATTTATCAGAGAACTATAATTTTTATTACAATTTTACGTCTGTACACGAATGGAATCAAGAATTACAGCAATGACTCCCCGCCAAGTAAAAAAGTTACTGACTGACTATATATTCAGGACTCTGAGTTTCCGATTTTCGGGTTCGATTTCCCTGCCCCAATCGTCCGAAATAATGCCGAATATCTCGTTCGAAAGATAATTGTTTTATTATGTAGTGTGCAAAATTTAAAGATTTTCTATAAAGCGGTTACCGAAATATAAGCAATTGAAAAGTGCAAAAATCGCCAAAAAAGCTGTATTTTCTTCTTTTTCTTCATCCAACATTGCAGGCGCTCGTAGAGAAGCAAACTACTGGGTTTAAAAAACTCAAATTTTAAACTTAATCTCTTCTCGTGATCAGTAAATTGCCGGCGAAACTTCCGAGTGGATAGGTCAAAGTTTACGGGAATTTTCCCATAGTGCTATTTTAGTTTTATGGCTTAATTTTATGCTTATAAGGCGATTTGAAGCCAAATATAGAAAAGAATAATACAGGTAAAAATCTTGTGAGTACCGCTTCCAAGTGCCAAGCTTATCTTTACTAAAAAAAAACTCCTAGGAAAATTTTGACTTTCGTCTAAATTGTCAAAAGTTTTTACTTGCAGCAATTTTTTACATCTCAGATTTTTTGATTGGATAAATACTTTTATCATGACAACGTAAAAATTCTTTTGGTAAAGAATACTAAAATTTATCTTTAGAGAAAAGTCGGGAAATGTTTTATAACAAAATTTTACCTAAATTCTCAATTTACATATTTATATCTTAAATATTCGGAATCGGTATCTGTAGAGCTGCAATTCAGTCATTTCAGTTCTCAGTTCACCTTTTTAGTTCTCGATTCAGCCATTTTACTTCCGAATTTACATATTTATATGAAATCTTCTTATTGTTTCATATGGAATTCATATGAAATAGTAGTAGAAAACACTTAAAAGCTAGCCTATATGTATTTCAAAAACTTATCTTTACTGACATTTTTTAAACAAACAAATTGAATATTTTCACATTAAAAAAACACCAAAATAATTTTAAATGCATATTTATTAATATTTTGATAACAAATTTGATTCATTATATATTCAGATATTGATAGCGCAAAAAACAAATACTATTACACATTTTTTTAATCGTTTACAGTGCAATAACATTTATGATAAAAGGTCCACAAGATCGAATAGTAACCAAGTGTGAGATTTATCCATAAAGCCAGCTTCATGAGCCCAACGCATGGTTACGTCTTCAAAGGCTTTGCATTTCTATTTTGCATCGGGCCTTCAAAATATGAGGCCTGTTATGAGTTACTTTACTTAAATCTATTCTTCTATTTTGATCTATAAGTTCAAATATACAGTACAAATATAAACATAATTACAGAAGACAGAAGATTCATAGATAAGTCTAGTAAACATACTTCAGCATTTTCCTCCTGAACGATCATATGAAGATGATTTATGTGTTACTTGTACTACTGAAATTCGTCTTCTCAGATTTTATAAATAAATTCAAGTATGCTTTTCTGTACTCTTTACTCATCAGTACATAAATGATTGGATTAACAATTGCAGTGGAGTAAATTCCGAGGTATGCAAACATGGCCAAAACTGGAAGATCTTTTTCTTTTTTGAAGAGTTTTACGAAAACAATCGGAGTGTAAGAAATTAAGAAAATAATAAAAATGACGAGGATCATTCTCAATAGGCGTAAATCTTTGGTTAACTTCTTCTTTTTCTTTCTACCTTCGACAGACAAATCTGTTTCTTCCTCATTGTCGCGAAAGCAAAATAATTTCTTCCAGAAGCTCTTTTTCTCCATTTCTTTGCGTACCGAACCGTAATCTGATCTTACTTGTCTTTCCGATTTTCTCACAGTTAAAAATATTCTAGTGTAACAATATATGAAGACCAAACTCGGGAAGAGGAATGCGAAAGCGTATAAGAAACGCTTAGGTGATTTGCCATTCTTTTCCAGGATGGTACAAAGGCTCACTTCATAACTGAAGCCGAATTCACCCCAAACTCCTAGAGCAGTTGGTGTTAAGAGTAGAAAGGATCCGATCCAAATACAGATAATGATTGCGGCTATCGTGGTTTTGGTATATATCTTATCGTAACTTTTCGAATGAACGATGATAACGTACCTATTGATAGTGATGGCGATGACTGTAAATAGTGAAAGAGCCACGTTAGAGTATCGTACCATGGGGTAGAATTTACATAATGAATCACTGAAGGGCCAAGACTTGTGGATCATCGTAGAAGCAGCAAGAGGGAACGAAAACGAACAATATAATCCATCGACGATACATAAGTTGATGATGAAGACCGAGGTCGCGTTTTTCATCAGAGGGGACTTCAACAGAGCGAGGATTGTTAACGAATTTCCGAATATTCCAAAAATGGTAAATGCAATACAGCAAGTTGCAGTAAAGTACAATAGAGATGTAGGGTACGTCTGGAACAAAGTTTCGACTCCTGTAGAATTTATAGAAGAGTTTCTTTCTTCTTCCATTACTGTAATCGATGACATTTTGTTCAGCGTTGTAGAGAATTATCTGATACTTTTGACATTATCACACAATGTACCCACACGGGATGAAGTTGGCAGAGGAAACGACACTATCAACGGAAACGGGTGATGATTTTGTATTTATGTGTCATCGACAAAAGTTAAAAATCATGTTGCATCTGTTATAAAGTTGCGAAATGTCCTTGTAAACGAAACTGTGAACAATCTATCTATATTTATTGACATTACACACGGTGTTAATTAAATGTATTGAAAAAAGAAATAAAGATGTTTTTATTTCATCGAAAATCGAATCCGAATTCTAATGGACACGCGTTTACTTGGTCACTCGGATAACTGATTAGAAATATTAAATCCTGAAGAATGTAAATGAAAAATGGCGTTACATTTCAAAATTTATGGATTTCCCGAAAAATTAATTCCGTCATTTTAAAATATTCAATCATATTATTGTAAAAATTGTCAATTGAATCAGCATAAAATTTATATTTACGGTAGCTAAACTGAGGCCGCATCAGGATCATCTAGATCCTTATTATGGCTCTCATATACTTGCACAGTTTCTTTTTATAAACTCGGTACATACCGCTTACACGTGTATAATATTTTCCTGAGTTTTCTGTCTACTGTGTGAGTTAGTGTGATTATTACTGTTCTATAGTTGAAGGTGTTTCATTCTTTGTGACAATTTTCTATAATGACAGGGGTGGCCAAATCTTGTCCCATAGGAGCCATATATAGTCTCATAAATACACAAGCCGCATTCAGTATTGGGACAGTATTTTATATTAAATATAGTGTTCTATAGTAAATACAATATTTTACTGTTATTTGAGTACAATCATAAATTGGTAGTATCGCTTAAAGAATTAATTTAAAAAATTTTTCGTTACAAATTCGATTACAATCGTTATTTAAATCAATTGTCATGTAATTCTAACTAAATCCTTTTATGTAATTTGTCTGCCGGATAACAGATTTTCCTACTTCAATGAGGATCCGGTTTGATTCTAATCCGGACTTTTTATGAATAATTTCAGTCGATATTATTCATTATCCATTCTTTCACAAAATTCGATGCAATGGGACCTTAAGGGAAAAAATTGAGACACTTAACACACAACGGATCTCTTTTTTGAGACTTGTAATACATAAAAACAAGTGCTTTGGGGCTTACATAGTATGTTACATATGAGCATAAAAGAAGATTCATGTGTATTATAAAGGAAGCTCGTTGTATTGTAGTGTAATTTTCGATACTATTCTTTTCTCTTTTTTATAGAAAGTCCATCATCGTTTCATGTTATAAATTAACCATTCTATATAAAATCTAGTATATTTACTATATTTTCTGAGTCAAAATCATATTTTATTATTTAAAAAAAGGGAGGAACTTAACCGACAAAGTATTGTCGGTTTGATCGGAAAATCGGAAATGTAAATAGTAAAATATAATAATATTTATATTTTAAATAAAAAATTATAACTGTAAAATTATAAAAATTGAAAAATTATAATAAACTATAATAGGACCTGTATATATGTAAGCCTACATTATATAAACCTAACCCTGTATACTGTATATTTAATAGGAAAAAAATTGTATTTAGTGATTGATTAATTACCTCCAGCAATAGTCATATCCGGACTTAAATTTACTAAACCCAAAAATTTAAAAGACACTTCTTTTCCATCAAATGTTAATGAATTTACAAATGCGAGCCTAGACTATAGCCTCATATTTTGAGACTCAAAATTGCCATTTGTTTAGCTTGTGTGTAAATCAGACCCAGGTACTATCATATTTACTCTATTTACTTGGCCAAAGTTAGGCTTATTACAGAGGGCCTAGCTATATAGGCTAAATGAAAGATGAATCTAAAACTAACACCATTGATGTGATCTTCTAGCCAACCTTTTAATAACTGTATTTACATATTTTTACAACTTTCGGAATGAGGACCACATTTATGACTGGCTAAGGCCTCGCTTTATTTCTCTCAAACCTTAAACACACACAGGATGGCCAAAAGTTAGTTTTCGGATACACTTTTCGGCTATCGTGTATATACGAAATATTGTATACACGATAATTAAAATAATATGTAATTAAATAACATTAAATAATTTATTATAAATAATTCTAGGTCAGGATATAAATAAAAAGAATTTCGTAGAACGGAATAAAAATAAATATTAAAGATAATTTCCAACGTAGATTTAATCAAAATTCTCATGAATCTTCACAATAGATTTTGTAGAGGATTACGAAATTCATTTGTACTTCCTTTAAGATTTCATTCAAAAATTAATTTTAAAGACTTATTTTTTATATAATTTTCAAATGATTTTATGGTTAATTGTTAAATAAATGAATTCAAGGGTGAAATGGGGCCATTAGACCCTTGAGGTCATTTTTTAACAAGTCACCTATAAAGGGCATTAATGCGAGCTGAAAGACTTCAGTCTTATCTTGTTAACAACGTATTTACTAATTTACCTCATTATTAAAAAAATACATTACATTTAAATTTGTTCCTGACATTAAAAAAAACTGTTTTGAACCACAAGAAATTATTTAAAGTTCTTAGAAGATCCTCCATAATTTCATTTTGCATTACAGTAGAAACCCGATTATCCAAAACGGTTAAAAACACACCTAGAATGCGTAATTTTGTACTGTACAGTACATAGACTAAACTTTCCATGTAACTGGATATTACTACGTCATCTGTCGATTGTAGCGCTGCGAATCTAGGTCCTATAAGTAATTTTATGTTAGATCTTGAGAAAATTAATTTACTTTCAAATACAGTAATTGCATTACAGTATTTATAGTTCACGAGACCTATAAATGCACAGTGTACCCAAAACACAAAAAAAAATCGAGTTTCTGGTTTATCCGAAAGTTCTCTGGTTCTATCAAGTTCTGATAATCGAGTTTCCACTGCAATAAAAATTAAAAATCTTCAAATAATTTCTTCTTTCACTTCGTAGAAATAAAAAAAGGATATTCTTATCATGATGAACAAGTTCAAATGATTTTCAAGATAAAAACGTTCATGGAAATTTCTACATATACAATCTTCAATCTTGATTATGATCAAATTTTAGGATTGACTTCAAAATTTCTGATTTTTTTTATTTTAATTTAAATATAGCTTTTTCGTGTAACATTGCCTTACAAGTTTTTCGTTTAATGCAGAGATGAAGGACCTTTTTTTTAAAATTAAAAGGCTACGTTCTATTCCAGAGATCTCACAATGGTACTGCAGATCGCATAATCCATTCAGATTAAATGCGTAAAAATGGATTTAACGAGAAAATAAGAAAATTTTTTTATAATTCAAAATTTATAACACAAATTAAATTTATTTTATTCTTAGGAGGTATTAAAGACATCATGCGGCCCTAAAGCTGAAGGTTCTTCACCTTTAATTTTCTACTTCTTATCTTTCCTCTTTTGGAGGTTTAGGACTGAGGATGTCCTTATCACCTAAAAGTTGCATTAATGTAGTGTTAAATCAAGTAAGTTGTTTTAAATTTTCAAAAAAGTGCTACCATGGATAAAATTTATTTGTTTTACACTGATTTGTTCTTACAGTTAAAAGAATTTCGAAAGGAACTTCATGTTTATGTTACTTTTTGCATTATTTTCTCTTGATTTATATCTCAGAAATTGATTTACTTTTTTAGCAACGTGTTAACTCAGTGAATTTCACTTGTTTAGTGTGTAAAAAGGTAGGCTAATGATGCAAGTCGAAAGACTTTACTCTTATCATTGCCCTTGAATGAAATTAAAACTGTTCATATGGAGGTGTAAAAAAAAGATTAACTCATTGTTATCTCTGCCTTTAATTTATTCGCAATTAAATTACAATTCAACAACAACAATTCAATTGTATAAAGTGTGAACTGCTTTCACTTGAAATGTGCACACTTTACCTCCAGATGGCGACACATAGAGTAACTCGGAATTTCTTCCATTGTTTCGGATACTGCTCATTTTTACGTCAGTTTGACGTCACTTCTTTCATTTTACAATAGGAAATCCTGAAGAATGCCTTCAGATTTACGTAATTATGTAAATACTTTCGTTTACTGACAGGAAGATTGGTTAATTAACACTACACATTATATAATCTATAATGTGCTGATATTACCTAATGGGCATGCCCATATTGGAGAGTTGATGGTTGAAAAATTCTTTGAAACATCAATAATTTTCGCAATTTCTAAACAATTTGGAAGAGAATTACATTCCTAAACTAACTAATTTATTAATTATAATTAATGTATTGTTTAACTAGCAGATGACCCCAGTGTTGCCCGGGCAAAAAATAACAACAACAAAGGTTAAGATTATTAGATTATTTCGTACTTCCAATCCTCCTATTATATTATATTATAGTATTTCATTTATATTTACAAAGGTTTATCGCACCGTGTGACCAATCTAACACATTTTTAAAATTCTTTAAATTGTGTACAATAGACGAATAAAGAACCCTTACATATGATAATCTTTGTAGTTATATAAACCAAACACTATACTATAAAAAACATTAAACGAATAGTATATAAAGACTTTGCCTAGGAGCGGGAGGCCCAGATTAATATAAACTTCCAATGCAAACCGGAAGTCACGTTACATCAATTCAAAACTTTACCCTAAACCGAGTTAGATAGCTAGTGGACACGACTCTATTTCTAACAGGATCAAGACACCACTAAAGGAATTGAGAACATTGTGACGAAAATTTACCGATGTCACAACAAATAATCGCTCGTTAGAATTAGCTTGATTTATTTTGTTAGGGCGATGCGACAATAGATGGCGGTACGTGTAAACCAGCAAATCAAATGGAGATACAAATTAATTGATTTTAAAAAATCCATTAGATATTTTGAGACGAGATGTTCGACATTATCTAAGTTAGCGGTATATAAACGTAACTGCCGAGTTTCGTAGCAATTGGTTGAAAAGCCTAAGCGTATATAGCGAACAAACATCCAAACATTCAAACATTCTCAATTATATATATAGATTTACAAAAACATTTAA